TATTTACATTACTACCGGAGCAAATAACAATAATGGCACACCGGTACGGGAAATAAAATGCTCACCACGACCACCTAAATATATTTACGTTACTACCGGAGCAAATAACAATAATCGCACACCGGAACCGGGAAATAAAATGCTCACTACGACCACCTAAATATATTTATGTTACTACCGGAGCAAATAGCAATAATTGCACACTGGTACCGGGAAATAAAATGCTCACCACGACTACCTAAATATATTTACATTACTACCGGAGCAAATAACAATAATTGCACGCAACTTCGAAAATAAAAATGTTTGTTGAAATATACCCTTGTAGCGTGCGTGCGAACGACGAACGGCGGCCTTCATTCACCGGAACTGGAGCCGGAAACTCTACCAAACTACCGGAGCTTCACCTCCACCACACTGCCCCAGCTTCACCACCACCACCTCCACCTCCACCCCCGCCACAACCTCCACCAATGCGCTGAAAAAATGCTCCAACAAAATGCTCACCACAACCACCACAAGCTACCCCATCAGTAGATCGAGGTCTCTTTTGGCTCCCCTAATTATGTAGAACCCATTCACGGTGCCAAATCCGTGAAAAAACGGGGCATTTTGGTGTATTAATTGGAGCTAGTTCGTGTAAGAGAGAGGAGGAAAGAAGAACAGAGAGAAGCTTGCGGTGGGAGGAATGGAAAGAAGAAGGAGAGGAGAAAGGGGTGTGCGCTGCGGGGCCGGCTCCCTGTTGGCCAGCAGCTGGCCGATCGGTCGGCAGCTGGCTGACTGGGTCGCCCGTGACCCAGCCCGCGCCGACAGCCAGCGCCCGACGTGGCCTAGCCAATAGTCGGCCTCCGCATGGCCGAGAAGCCACCTGTCGGCTAGCAGTTGGCCGATAAGGTCCAGTCGGCCTGCTGCTAGCTGACTAGGACCAGTCGGCCAGCTGCTGGCCGACGGTGTATTATTTTTGAAAATAATTTTTTGGATGTAATATTTGTGCAAATTACTAAAAAAATGTATTATTTTAAAAAAAAATAGCGTCCACCGGGCGAGCAGTGTGGCGTACAGCCCCATGGACGAGCAGTCTGACTAGCCGCCAGAGCTGAGGTCCTCTCGCGCGTCGGCGCGGCCATGGACGAAAAGTCGTTGCTGCATCGTGCGGGTCGCCAAAGTCCTTGGGCGTGGCCACCAAGAACGTCAGCAGGAAAAGAAAACCCTAAATCGTCGGAGCTATGTATCTGTTCGAGCACACGAAGCAAGTTTGGGATTGCAGTCGGGAATAGCTATTGCGATTGAAAACTGGTGAAAGTGGAATTACTTGCTTTGAGATTAGAGAGGCCGCGTGCCATTCATCCGAGTGGAATTACTCTGTGGCAGTGCTGACAAGGACCTCTACTCGTTGTACAATGCACAACCATTCGCCTTGTTAACGGTACTCGCGCCAAATTCTGGGAGGACCAATGGCTACATGACCCTGCACGTAGGGCTACTGCCCCAGGGCTGTTCGCCTTGTGCGCTTCTCACTTTCAAGGATGCCCTCATTGATAACATGTGGATGTGGGCCCTACATAGACTGAACTCTGATAAGCTTCTGGTTGATTTGATTGCCCTCTGGGACATGATTTAGTCAGTCACCCTCTCTAGACGGCCTGACACGACCGTCTCGAAGCTCAACACCGATGGAGTTTACTCCACGGCCTCGGCATATGGTTCTCAATTCCTTGCCAGGATCCTAGAGCCTAATCTTTCTACTGTGTGGAAGGTTAAAGTTGAGCAGAAGGTTAAATTCTATCTATGGCTAATGATCCACAACCGTAACTTGACGGAGAATCGTCTCGTTGCCCGGGCTGGCCTCACTCGGCAACCTACCCCCTTTGCGACCGAGCTCCCCAGATGGAAGTTCACCTACTCCTTCATTGCACTTTTGCTTCGAGAGTATGGGCCCATCTCCATGCCTCTGAACTTTGATGCTCGTGCAGCTGGAGCAGATGCATCCGCGACTTGATTAATGCATGGTGGTGTACGATACGAGCCACGACGCGATCGAGCAAGGAAGCAAGCTACCACTGCATGTTTCGATGCATGGAATATCTTGAAAGAGAAAACTGAAGAAACTTTGGGTGATTGAGAGCCACGCCTGAGGTTGTTGCCAGCCTAATCTAGGACGAGTCAAAAACTCTTTTGGGAGGGACACGCCTAATTAACTGAACATTTTATAGGATGAGTATTTCAGAGTCTTACTCCAAATTCTATTCCTATTCTCCTAATTCTTATTTCTTAATTAACTTTTCACATGGATCAATGGAAAGATATGTTCTTGCATTATTGCTTCTCGATTAAAGATCATAGTATAGCAGTTCAATCTGACGGGACACAAGACTAGGTGAGTTAGATGGTTCATTTAATTGTCAAACATTGATGCATAATCTCCAACTGATATCTGCTACCATATCACTATAATTTTATTTTATTCATCTTTTATATCTTGTGTTTCAATACAACATAATTTGTTACGTAAGACACTGTATCAAATATACATTATAATTGATTCATATTTTATTTTTTTTTCTACTGAGATAGGGCCTCATTTTTTTAGTTTCGCACAGGTCCCCGGATTTTACCGGCCCGGCCCTGTTTCAGACCTTGCGTGATGTACATTGTGTAGTTTTCAATTGTAACACTTTTTCCCTACTATAATAAAAAGGCAGAGCTCCTACTGCTACCCACTAAAAAATGATGCTCAAATTTGATGGTGAAATGACATTTGAGGATCTCGAGACAAAAAAATAGATTGACTAATTTTAGTCTAACCTTTTCTGTCTAGATACCCTTGAATGTCATTTGGCCACTAAATCTTGCAAGTAATACATTTGGACATGTTCGAAGCCACAAATTTCAGACTTTTTCCAATTTTGCTAATTGTTTTCAATTTTACTATTTTTCGTGGGTGCATTGCACCCAGCTTTACAAAAAAACTGCCCCGAAACCATTTGGTCAAGTTCGAACCCACAAAATTTCAGACTTTTTTTTGCTATTTTTTATTGGTACTGTTCTTTGGAGGTGCGATGCACCCCGGTATAGCCACAACTTTTCCATAATATATATTTATAACGACTGCAAATTTATTACGTATTGAACAGTAGTACATGTTAACTATTTCATGAAAGTTAACGATTTCCGTACGTATTACTTAGATACTAAAGCTAGCATCTCATACATGGAAGCACAAGCATACACAGTTGACCATGCAATACATGCCTAGCCCCGGCCGGCCGGCCAGCCAGCAGAGGCTACTCTACGGCCCATTGCACTTGCTCATGCACTCGCTCCTGCAGGTGGTCAGGCAACCCTGCTGATGCCCGCGCACGCACCAGCTGCAATCATTGTAGGAACAAGTGTCGGCGCATGCCTTGTCGGCCGCGGCGCCGCTGCAGTCGCAGCCGCCGTCGGTGCAGTTGGCCGTGCACATGTCAGTCTTGCACTTGTCGCAGCGACCTTGAACCGAAAGGCAACCGCATATCTCGGAGAGGGGGGCTATGCACAACGAATAGCACGCCTGGCTCCCGACCGAGTAACAGTCCCCGCATGATACCCGCGGTGCCGGCGCCGGCGCTGGCACCGGTGGTATCGGTTCGGGTGGCGGTGGCGCCTGTGCCGGCGGCGACGGTGGTGGCGGTGCCGGCCCCAGCGACGGACAGCGGCCGGACGAAGGTAGGACCAGCATGGCAACCATGGCGGCGACGGCGGCTGCCCTGAGAGCGAGGCCGGCTGAAGCCATTAGAGAAGAAGACGCAACAGGATGAACTGTGAAGTGTGCTGGTGTGCGCTGAGTGTGAACTAGCAGGAGAAGCCACCGTTATTTATGGGCACGGCCAGCTAGCGATCATGTACTGAGATTTCTATATGTAAGATGCATCAAGTTGCATGTCGTGCATGTTACAGGTAGTTGACATGGGTGCAAAGAGGATCGATGAGTGCATATACTGTGTACAACGAGTAATGCTACACATACATAGATTTACACAGGTTTTACAAACATATGAGTTTTGATTGGAGATTATAGGGGAGAGGGGCCCACCCCATGAAAATCAGGGGGGAGTGATTAGTTAGAAAGAAAGAATCCTAGTCAACGTGTAACTGCGTGTAGCCCCTCTTCCCCATAATCTCCAATCAAAACTTATCTGCTTGTAAAACCCGTGTAAATCTATGTATATGTAGCATTACTCCTGTGTAGAATACCTCAAGTTGCATCTCGAGATCTGCACCATGCATGTTACAAAGTTGACATGCAGGTAGTTATCTTGATCGGGCACGATTCCTGGCATAGACCTTCTTTCTGCTTTTGGCTTGGATCTCCATGGAGAAGAACACTTACTTTTGATTAATTACTCGAAAGTCTCTCAAAACCTAGATCTGCGCCGTGCATGTTACAAAGTTGACATGCAGGGTAGTACTTATCTTGACCGGCACGATTCCTGGCATAGACTTTCTTTCTGCTTTTGGCTTGGATCTCCGTGGAGAAGAACACTTATTTTTGATTAATTACTCGAATGTCTCTCAAAACCTTACTTTTGAGGACAACTTTGCATGGAAAATATATTTCAAAGGTGGAGACATTCATAGGAATATAAATTTTTGTATGACGACACCATTCATATGTTTCTCAGAAGATTGGAGCAAAAGGGAATGGAGGGAAAATTCATTTGGTCCCACAGTTTAAGAAGGAAAACACATGAATTTGACAATCAACTTGGGGTCTCTTTGCTTCGCATGATTCTAAAAATGCAGGAATAGGAATGGATGAGGACAGCATATGCCATAATAGATCATATATAGTTGTCAGCAACACATGAATTTGCAATAGAAGGTGTTTGGTTGCACGACAGGAAAATGCAGGAAGTTTCCCATAGCATTAGATGCATGAAATAGTTGCCATAAAAACAATGAAAAAATTTGCTAGATGGAAATATTCCTCCGGACTTGTATGCAAAATTTGACCTTAGGAGTAATTCTCATGGTTTGCAATCTTAGAAACCAAACAACTAATTCATACGCAATCTTACAAACCGAACAATCTTTGTGGAGAAAGTCCCGAAGAAATGGAATCCTTCAAAACTGGTATGGAACTCCTTTTTTTGTGAAATAACTGGCATGGAAGTCCTTTGAACCAGACATCCTCGACCTCTTTTTCAAATTTCTATGCACGAAGATGGGGACTGAGATCCTTAGTGGCATAATAACATTATAATTGTACAGTTTCATGTAGTTTCACTTTGATATGATTGTGATTATTATTATTATTATCTCCAATTGTTCTACACCAAACACCCAAATATGCCAAATTCATGTCTTTTTCAATCGTCTGTTTTGCGCCTGCATTAATATTCCAATGCTATGTTTTCCATTTTTGAATCATGCGAACCAAACAAACCCTAAAAGTTTACATATTTTTTTGGATTTAAAGTCATTGGGATTAGGTCTGTTGGATTTCAAAAACTTAATGTAACCGAAAATACTATGCGATAAATTATTTTCAAAATAGAAAATTTGAAATATGGATCCCGATTCCTCAGATGGATTTGTTTTGACTTCCAGTTTGCCTTGGATCTCCGTGGAGAAGAACACACACTTAATTAATTATGCAAATTAAAATCTAGCGTCAACACCTTACTACTTTCGGAGACAACTTTGTGCGGACAATACATTTAAGGGGTTTGAAAGAAAAGTGAAGGACAATAAAACACATGAATTTTACAATCCACTTGGGGGCTCTTTGGTTCGCAAGATTGTAGGAGCGCAGGAATAGAAAAGATTCAGATAACATGCCATAATTGCTCCTACAAGTATCCAAAAAACATGATTTTGTAATAGAAGATGTTTGGTTTACACTAAAGGAAATATTCATGAATATTCCATAGATTTTTTTTACTATAATATTTCATAGATTTCATAGAAACAATGAAAAATATCCGTGAGCTTGGACTCAATGGAAATCTTCTCTCGAATTGCATACAAAGTAGACCATAGGAGTGATTTCTATGTTTTCCAAACCTGAAAAAACAAACAGCCCGTATAGAAAGATTCCCTAAGAAATGGAATCTCCAAGATTTGTATATAATTCCTTTGAACTAAATAGGCCCGACTTCTTTTTTTTAATTGATTGTGCACAAAGATAGATATTGGAGTCTATAGCAACATATTAACATTTGAGTCGTACTTTTCACATGGTTTAACTTTGATTTGACCATGATTATAAGGAATCATGTGTTTTCCTATTCTTGTAAACCAAACACCCAACTTTGTAGAATCATATAAAATGTTTTGTACGAATTCAGCTATTTGTAGAAAACATTAGCATGCTTTGAAAATATATTCATAGATTGTGAAAATGGTTATATATTCCCAAAGACGAACATGATGAACTTAATTGTGTCAAAAATATTGTTTTCTCAAAAAACTTAAATTAACACCAAAAAAATCGGTGAATATATGAATCCATATCGCTCCAAGCACACAAATCAGTGAACTCCTAAACAAAACAAAATCCATGTCCAAAGAAAACACGAGTTAAAAACAAACAGTGACTAACAAGAGTGTGGGAGCAATTGAGAGCTTCATAAGTTAGCAGGTTATTTTCTACAGTGAAGGCTTGCTGAGCTCGCTCCTAGGTCTGTAACAGTAGGTCATTTTCACTAAGGATGGGCCTCTGCTTCCAATTTTTTTTCTTGCATGATTCCTTGTCATTAAATGAAGTTCCTCTTATAGTGACTGCAAATTATTTCAAAATTTACTTTCACAGATTGATAAGTAAAGTGATATGTATCTCATGGACAGCAATGACTTCCATTGAACGTGCAATACATGCATAGCCCCGGCAGGCCTGCTACCAACAAGCTATAGATGGCCCAATGCAGTTGTTAGCACACATGCACCAGGTCAGAAGCGTGTGTGGGTGTTGTACGGACGCCCGCAAAGCCCATCACGTTTGTCTCCAGTTTGCCGGAGAAAGTATGTCCGGGCCGTCCTGCGATTGATACATGCCCGCATTGGATGACACAATACGTCGGGACCTCGCGTTCTGAATGACTGCGGACGGTTTGAATCTCTCCGTTGGAGATGCCCTTAACCTCTAGCCTCAAAGATCATTGTGAGACAAACCACACAAATTAAGGGTTAGACCCTGTGCGCATATTTTTCTTACACGCTGGACCCTCCCCTAGGGACCTGTAATGGTAGTTCATTGGAGTACATTTTCTTATGATTCCTTTTCTTTAAATAAAACCTTCTACTTACTTCAACTGCAAATTTATTCATGCTAAAATACATATGGAGTAGTACATTGCTAAGTATCTCATGATAATCAACGGCTTCCGTATGTATTACTAGGTAGTAGAGCATCTCATGCGTGCGTGCATACACAAGCATACACTAGACCATTCAATACATGCATAGCCCCGGCAGGCCAGCACAAGCTATCTACCGCCCGGGTGGTGGTGTCATTGCAGTTGCAGGCGGTGGTGGCACCGTGGCACCTATGCGGCGGGCGGTGCTGGTGGTGGCATCTGTGCCGCCGGCGGTGGGGGTGACATCTGTGCGGGTGGTGGTGGCGCCTGTGTCGTTGTGGTTGGTGGTGGTGGTGACGCCTGTGCCTCCGGTGGTGGTGGTGACATCTGTGCGGCCGGTGGAGGAGCCAGTGTTGGTGGAGGCGATGGGAGTGGTGTCAGTGTGGGCGGCCGTGGCGCCTGCGCCGGCGGTGGTAGTGGTGGTTGTGCCGGCTTCAGCGACGGACAACGGCCCAATGAAGGTAGGACCAGCATGGCAAGAACGGCAACGACGGCGGCCGCCTTGAGAGCGAGGCCAGCTGAACTTGCTGAAGCCATCAGCAAGAAAGGCACGGGGTCAGGATGTGAAGTCTTGGAGATATCGACTTAACTGGTGTTCGTACGAAATAGGAGAATGCAGAGCTATTTATAGGCACAGCCAAAGATCATATGTACGTTAGCTAGCTACATGCACTAGGACTACATATCCATGTACTCTCTCCGTTCCTAAATATAAATATTTTTAGAGGTTTCAAATGGACCACAAGATACGGATGTATATAGATATATTTAGAGTGTAGATTTACTCCTTTTGCTCCGTATGTATTCTTTTTTTTAATCTCTAAAAAGACTTATATTTGAGAACGGAGGGAGTAGAATGCATCAAGTTGCATGTTACATGATGACATGCATAGAGGATGGATGAGCGAGCACGTATACACAAGTTGCATGTGGAGATCGGCGCGGTGCATGTTACAAGTTGACGGGCACAATTCCTTGTGTAGATTGGTTTTAACTACCAGTATGGCTTAGATCTCCATGAAGGAAAACGATAAATTAGGTCGATGGCATATTAAAGATAACAGGACAATACCAACTGTAGGTTCTTAAAGAACAACCTAAACTAATGCAAAGCATGTGTGAAAGCGTTCTCTATTTATATTTTAAAAATGAAAAATATATGGAACCTATAACAAAAGAAATGACGTATAAAAATATTAGATTTTGAATAAGGAATTGTCATTTTAGATTGAAAATTACGAAGTATGAATCGCCTGCCTGAGGTATGCTCCAAGTGCTCAACACATATATTGTCTACGACAACACACAAACTAATGCAAAAATATAACTTGTGACTAACATGCATAACATGCTAATGTGTACTGGATAGCTATGCAGAAACGTAACCTATGACACATGCATGCCTTGCATTTTTATAAGGGAGGTGTTATCTGAC